CACTCATGGCCACACCTCAGTTACACCCCTCTTTGTTCATTTGGAAACTTGGGAGATATGGGCCTATATTTTCATTATTAAGATGCTTAGTCATTATAATGTCAATTTTATTGAACTAAAAAGACATAAACCAATAACTAACACGGTGAATATCAATAACTTAGCTAGCCTACAGAATGGCTGTTTTGCAATGCACCTGTCAGTATACAAACCATTCATTGCTTAATAAATAAATCTCAACCATTACAGCAGTAACCAAATTCGTAATTTATTACAGCATGTTTAATAAAATCCATGTTATTTTTATTTCTTTTTAAATTATGATTAATTAGTAACTTAGTAATTATTAAAATAGAATATATGTGGTGAAGGAAGGAGAGATGGAAGCTTTGGTCACTTTCTTCAGAAGGCAGACTTCCCTGTCATCGGGCTATATACATGACTTGCGTAGTGTGAAATGACCTGGCAAAGTTGACTTGATAATTGTGCCTATAGCTTCAGGCTCCGAGTTGAGCGTAATAAGGATAATTTTGTAGATCAAAGACTACGCAGTGCATATTTCACTGTTCCTGGTTACTCCCATCTCTTACAATAGATCTTAACCCCTTAATTACCTAGACTATTTAAAATATATTTCATAGAGAACAATATAACAAATCCTTGCTTGGAAATTTATAAAAGGTTATTAAGCCAATTTGTTTTACTACTTTGTAATAAATGTGACAGACACATTCCTTGTGTGAATGTATTGCTCTTTGATAGTCACCTTTTTCTTTGATTATCCATCTACCAGGAGGCTGATTGCCAGACTTATGACTGGTTGAATATCCATCTTTAGCCAACTCTAGAATTAGAACTACTTATGGATAGATCTATGTTAGTTCGACTATACTGGCTGTTTGGCAATGTTTTTGTCCATTTAATAATTTTTTTGGTACTTTTTCACCCAAATACATAGTGTGGGGTAAAAAAAAAAAAAGAAAAAATACCTTCCTGAGAGAGTCACTTTATAAATGACAGAGAATTGAGCAGTAAAACTGTAGGAGCATGATATACACCAAAACTGCTTCATTAAACTAAAGTTGTTTCGGTCAACTCAATAAATCCTAATAAAGTGCAACATGCTTCTTACTAAAGTACTGTAGAAATCACCAGCAAACACTTCCCATTTGCATATGTACTTAAGACAGAAAGGAAAAAAACACTGTTGCACATATTGATAATTAAAGTACATAATAATTAGTGTTAATATATATAATCAAGTATACTAGTGAAAAATAAAATCATTATTTTTCACTAGTATACTAGTAATTATACCAGATCTGTATATGCTAAAAAATAAACATAGTGTATACAGTATTGTGACGGTAGTAGAAAATATCCCCGTCAAGCATTCCCTTCTTCCCATAAAAGAAAAGCACTCAATATTCCATAAGCAGAAATATCCCTGGAATCGCCGAATAATCCACACATGAGCCAAAGCTTAATGCTGGAACAAGACTGATTTAATGGCACACAGAACTCACAATTTAAGCAACACAAAACTCCTCCTCTGGGCCAGGCTAGATAATTGAGTTTCTACAATACACAAAGCTCAATTATCTGCTGGCCAGAAACATTACAATTTATAACAATTTCAGACACATACTTTCTATAAGACATACAATTATACTTTTAACATCCCTGGATAGCTGAGGATACTGGTAGTCACATATCCAAATCTCACGAATTTCCGTTCGGTAGTTTCCGTGTCGCATCGTGTGGAAGTTTGACCGGCTTGCCATGTGGAGGTATCCGAGTTACAGTTCCATAGAATCAGTAGCAAGAGCCGGTCTCCGTTCGCATCTAACTACACGAAAACTACCGTTCGTATGGTTCAGCTGGTTACCTGTTAATGTTCCCCTCATTCGGTAGATACCATCTACCGAACGCCAGTTTGATTCGTGCAGGGGAACGTATTCATCCAGGACTTCCATGGGGGACCGGGCGTTCGCATGTTTCCCGTACCGAAAATAGTTCCATGCAATTCATGCGTAAGCCCCGCTGACCGCATTCGTGAGTTTTAAGATGGCCGCCATCCTTTGTTCTCGACACGTGTTCGTATGTCGAATGGCGGCCACCTAGTAGCAATTAAGTTGCGGTTTTCTCTGTGTTCTAATTGCTACTTGCAACCCAGGGTGTGTGGTCCCCGTTCGGTACACGAATACATTCATTCTCAACATTTGGAACCGAACAATATAGACATTAAAATAGCAGAGAGAATAGGGAGAGAATTAAACTGAAGCATATAGGCAATTGCATAAAAGTCCTTCACAAGTATGTATAAAATTCCACTTATAATCCCCTAAAGGATAAAACTCATGTCTACCAAAGCCTGTTCCCTGGCTCTGAGTTGGTAGGGAGATGGGTAAACACCCCACACAGTTCTGTCCCTTTAAGAGGAATATGCTGCAGCAATGAAACATAAGAGAACAAAGGGTTAGACAATTGTGTAGTACCTTCAATTTATTGTGGCCGAAATAAAAAGATTAAAATTCTTAAATTAAAATGTGGTAAATTCACAATACTCTCTTGAAAATATGTATAAGAGAGGCCAAATTTGAATAGTCTGTGCTATTAGAAAGTCAATAGTCAATCTCTCCACTCTGATGAACCATTCTGATCACATGATACAGCTTAGGACCCACCTCCTGTGTCACGTTTCGCCCAAGTCACGAGGACTTTATCTGACATTGGTTTTGCGCCTTGATTCCCATCATATTGCTGCGGTTCTTGGTTTGCTCCATCTCTTTTTACTATTGGTTGATTCTCGATACATGCAAATACTCCCCTAATGTGCTTGCAATCATTAATGTCTTAATTAATTAAAGGGACAGTGTACACACCCAAACCACTTAAGCTAATTGAAGTAGTCTGGATGCAGTGTCCCACATAGCCGTTCCAGAAATATTGCAATATTTACATTGCAGCACTAAGTCTGCCCAAAGTGGTTGTCTTCCAGACAGCGACTAGAGGGCTTCCTGAATCAAAACGGACCTTTGGTCTGGTATCTGATGCTGGACATCCTTACGCTCTGCATGAGGACCTCCAGCGTAAGATTTTTTTTCCCAAAGGAAAGCAATGGGGAGATTTGTCCCCTATGCGAGGCATTTGCCGCATGCGCATTATTGCCCGCTCATCGCAGGCCTTCGGAGGGGGCGGAGCCCTCACCCAGTGCTGAGGGACATCGGCGCTGGGAAAAGGTGAGTAAAGGATTTTTTAACACTTTATTCACCAGGATAGAATGTGTGAGGGAGGGGGGAGGCAGGGGGAGCGATAGTGCCAGGAATACAGCTTTGTATTCCTGACAATATAATATCCCTTTAAGTCGCACTTTAGTTGGTTATTTTTTATCCCATATCTTATAATTGTGTATAAGTTATGGGATAGGATGCAAAATTACTAACTAAAGTGCTAATTTATCACTATTGAATGTTGAGACGTAAAGGCTTATTAGGGGAGTATTTTCATGTATCGAGATTAATTAAGAAATAAAATGAGGTGGGACTAACTGAGAACTGCAGCAATATAATTGGGAAACAAGGCTCAAAGTCGACGACTGATGATGCCCACATTTGGCCAAAACGTGTCACAGGAGGTCGGTCCGAAGGTGTGTCACATGATCAGATGGGCACATCACAGAGTGGGGGGGATCGGAAAGAGTGTGGACTATTTAAATCTGGCTTTTTTTTAAACACATATTTGCAAGTGAGTATTGAGAGAATACTCACCACATTTTAATGTAAAGGTTTTTAATCTTTATTGGCATAATAAACAGAATTGCGGACCCCTTGATTCTCTTATATGTTCCATTGCTGCAGCATATTCATCTTAAAGATACAGAATCATGTGGGGTTCTCCCCACCAGCAATACTTACCCAGAGCCAGAAAACAGGCTGTGTGAGTTTTATCTTTGGGGGATTATTATTGTGATTTTATACATACAGTATGCACTATGTTTGTTTTTTAGTTTACAGATCAGGGAAATCATTGTGTATTCGTATTTATTTTATTTTTCACTAGGGTATATACTATCATTGATAGTATAATATTGATTTGTATATGTTAATACTTATTATTAACTTTAATTCTCAATAAGCGCAACACTATTTATGCTTTTTTTCAAGTTGTTTCGATGCTTAGAGTATTTCTTGAAGGAACCTGGTCTCCATAATCCAACAAATATTTTATATGCGTCTTTACACTGATTGAGATGATCTTCCTTGAAATGTCATTGTTAAGTAATTTGAAATGTTTTCTACATTCATCTATCTTGAACAGTAAAGTACATGTTTGTAAAAGGACACTCCACTGCCAAAACAAAAATAAGTAAAAAAAAACAAAAACACTGTTTAGAAAATATACACCCAATAAAAGCATGCATGCATGTATTTAATTATGTGGGTTTTTTTTTGTTTTTTTTAAATTGGTGGTATATTTAAACACAGCTTGTAAAAGCTGAAACCTTTGCAAGCCAGCCCCTTCTAATCCTGCCCAGACTATCTGTGACTGTCCAATCACAGACTTCCAATGCAGCTCAATGAGAAGTCTGCACTTAAAAAAAACAAACAAAAAAAACACTCTTCAATCAGAAAGCATTTCAGCAAACTAAAGTTCTTTAAAGGTCTGACATGTGCCTTTAACAACTAGACCATCATGAGTGGAGATAAGACATGGCATGCAGGGGGCGGGGCCTGACAGTCGTGGTGGAAGGATGCTTGCTTCTAAACTGAGCTCCTCCACTACCCTACCATAGCAAGCACTTTGCACCCTCGCCAAGCTCGTTCAGGCATTAACTCAGATAAATACTGGTACCTGGATTTACCTGCCATGCTGAACGGCGGTCAGCAACCTTCTGGGAGCTTTCCTACCCCACCGTGACACATGAGGCCTAGTGCACACCAAGTGGGGGAGGCGGCCAATCCCCAGGCGTGGAGGTGCCCAGAGGCAACAAATCCTTAATGTATGCCCCATATACCCGCCCTAGGCGGGGGTGGAACCTGTCCACCGCGGGGGGCAACCCTAAACTAGCTGGAATGACGGGTGCAGAGACCAAGCCTACTGAAAATTCCGGTACCAATCCCAAAATGGCAGAGACTGCATGCTCCCCCACTCCCAGCAACAGTCTACCCGATATCCTGTCCAGGCTAAACAGTCTCTTTGCTGCTTTTTGGCTTAAGTTAGAGAGCAGAGTGAGCCAACCGGCCTTGCAGCCCCCGGGAGCCTACTCACTTCGACAGCTGCATCCCGATACTCGACGGAAGTCCTCAGATCTGGTGGTGAAGCGGACGCCTGTCGAGCGGCAGAACAGGCTGCCCAGAGCGCATAAACACAAGGCAGTGCGGAAGCAGGCATGGACGCAAGCAACAGCTAAACCACCTACAAAGCTGGAGGGGCCACAAGGAACCTCATACCTTGCATCTCAGAGGAGCCACCGGAGGTCGGGGAGCAGAGGAGTGACACACATTTCTCTGATACAGGACTGCGCTTGGGCCCCAAAGGCATAAAATGACCGGAGATGGAGCCAGAATGACACCCTGGTTACTCTCACCGTAAATACAGTGGGGAAGTTGCAAAGTTTATTTCTGCCAAATGTCTCTGTCTTTTATCTCCTTTAATTTGTTCTACTTATGTTTTCCTTACTGAATAACTTTCTCTCTAAGCTCACTGAGGATGCCTACCTGGGGCATTCATTATCTTACTCTACATGTGTAAATTGCAGAGTCAGTATATAAGCCTTCATACTTAGCTGTGACATGTATAATTTGCTTGATTCTTATTGTGACGGTCCAACCCTCTCTCACCGTCTTGGGTTCCCTTTCTTCCAGTAGTTAGTGAATAATCCTTCCAGGCAGAGTATAGACACAGGCATAGCATAACCCCTCACACATGAGCCGAGGCTTAATGCTGGGTAGAGATCTGTTTAATGGCACACAAAGCAACAGTATTCTTGCAGTAAAACCACTCCTGCTCTGAGGAAAACAAAATGACTGTTTAAAAGGGTCAGACAGAGTTTGAAAATATGACAGTTATTAAGGGTTTAAACTGGTGTTCTAAGGTGGGGGGAGAACAAAACAGTCGAACTAAGTCCATAAAACAGGGGTGTTCTTCACACTTAATACCCAAAAAAATGTGCTGATAATCCTAATGTTATGCCTTTGATCTGACTACTGTGCCTGCTGTTGCTGTTGTGACATTTCAGGTATCTTTGTAACCTTTATTATGTGCACATCAAAAAAAAAAAAAAAAAGACATGGCATGTACGGCACTTAGAACACTTCATAGAGATGAAATGGTCTGGGTGTCTTTAGTGTCCCTTTAATTTCATTGTGTAACAAAATGTTCTCTGTAATGTAGCCATTGGTAATAATCCAGCTCTATAATACACGTTATTCATGACTAAGTTCTCATAAAGGGAAATATATAATTTCATTACTTTTTATGTAATGAATGAGTTACATTTTCCATAAAAAGATTTTATTTCAATATTAATTGGGTTTTGTATATAGATTCCATTAAAACACACTAACTTCAGTCCTCGATGAGCCAGAGATCATGAGAAAAGTTAGCTAATTAAAAATTAATGCCCCGCCATTGCCTTTAAGAGGTAGCCTGAATAGATCACGAAAATGAAATATGCATAGTTCAAATAATGAAATTAAGAATATTTTATTTAAGAAAAATATCTATTATCACTGAAATGAAAGACTTTGTACAGTACCTATGCATATGTCTACTACTGAGAATTGAGTTTAGTGTGCCTGTTAGAATTAGACTGGTTTGCTATTGTCCCTGCTATAATCAGTGGCTTTAGTAAGTAATTGTGAGTAATATTGTTCCTGACATTTCAAACTAATTAAAAAATGGGGCTAATCTTAAAATCCTTGAAATGAAAGGAATATCCCGGAGTGAGCAGCAAATCGCAGGAGATTATCACATTCATGTGAGAGGTAAAGTCAAGCATATGAGTTAACACAGCCTCCACATGGGTTGAAGAGGAGTAAGCATGTTAAAGTTTAATAATGAAACACTGTGTAACTGTATATTGACTATACAATAAATAATAATGTGTGTGATTAGAAGTTCAAGGCAAATCCATACAAAATAACAGAAGCAAAGTCAGACATTATAAAGTTACTAAGTGCAAAACAATCAGTGGGAAACCAGCATAGAATTGTTCTGTTTGTTGTTAACATTTACTGTAATGCTTAGTATTTTGAATGGCTGCAGTGTTCAATAGAATATAAAGACACAAGGTGAGCAATACATCTTTGTGCTTTACTTTTCATTCAAACGTGCAATGTGACACATCATCATAGTTATTCACGATAGTATGAATTATTGGAAATTTAAAATTAATTTGCTTTTAAGCAGAAATATCCAAGTAGGACTTTTTTTTTTTTTTTTAGTCAGCTAGGTTTTCAGTTAAACTATTTTGACCTAAAATTTTAAATGCACTTTAAGGTCACTCTGAATTTACAACAATTCATTTTTTAGTGAATAGCGGTATTAGCTTTGTTCATCACTGTTTGTGATGATATTCATCAGGAATGTTTAGGCCAATGTCAGCCTAAACTGCATATTAAAGGGACACTATAGTCACCTGAACAACTTCAGCTTAATGAGGTTGTTCAGGTGAGAACTATAGCTCCCTGCAGCCTCTCATGTAAACACTGTATTTTCTGAGAAAATACAGTGTTTACATTGAAAGCTAGGAACACCTCCAGTTGCAGTCACTCAGAGTGAATCAGAGGGACTTCTGAGTTGATGGAGGCATAATAGGACTCCATCCACTCTGATCTGCTGTGCACGAGCATCCTGTGATTCAGTATCTCCTCCCACTGCATGCAGACACTGAACTTTCCTCATAGAGATGAATTGAATCAATGAATCTCTATGAGGAGATGCTGATTTGCCAGGGCTGTGTTTGAATCATGCTGGCTCTGCCCCTGATCTGCCTCCTTGTCAGTCTCAGCCAATCCTATGGGCGCTGTGATTGGATCAGGCTATCACATGTCAGCAGACTGCTTGTTTTTCCTGAGTCTAACAGCATGCAGATTTACAGCTTCTGGCTTGGATACAGTAAGATTTGTACTATATTTATGGAGGCATGAGGTGTCCAGGGGGGCTAGATGGTCCTGTTAACACTATAGGGTCAGGAATACATGTAGTTGCCCTGGTGACTATAGTGTCCCTTTAACCAAAACTGAAAATATAAAGGTGGGGAAACAAAAAAAGGAGGTTTCTGTATCACAGGTGTTTGTGGAGTGTTTGCAGTGAGAACAATTTTCCCACTAATATAGGGGGGTTGTTAGCTGAACCCTGACACCGTTCTTCTGCTGATTAAAAAAGTGAAAAGTGCATAGGTGTGATTAGAGTACTGCAGGAGTGAGAAAGCAGGCAGAAATTGTTCAGGACCTTTTCTAGCCCAGCACTATGTGGAATTCTGCTTGGGGTTGTGTCCTGCAATCTCCATGTTTGGAATGGCCAACTGGGATATGTATCAGCAGACTGCAGTACCTAGGACAGACCATGCTGTCATATAATGAATATGCATGATGCCCCAAACTGAGCAAATTATTACTGGGTAAGTTGAGAAAGCACTCATGACCTTTATCAAGCCACAGGTAGTGACCGGAACGTTACCTATGTGATATACGCTCCATTAAAAAAGCTGTCAAGATTTGGAACTCTGACTACCTGGACCTTATTCTTTCTTCAGGTTAAATATTATTTGTATGCATTAGGCCACATATGTATGTACAGTATAAATTGGATTATATCGCATACACACACTGTCAGTAAAAACCACTGACAGGTAAAGTGAATAATATTGATTATATTGTTGCAATGTCACCTGTCAAGAGGTGGGATATATTAGGCAGCAAGTGAACAGTCAGTTCTTGAATTTAATGTGTTAGAAGCATGAAAAATGGGCAAGCGAAAAGATCTGAGTGATTTTGACAAGAGCCAGATAGTGATGGCTAGAAAACCCAGCCACAGCATCTCCAAAATGGCAAGTCTTGTGGGTTGTTCCGAGTATACAGTGGTTATTACCTACCAAAATTGGTGCAGGGAAGGACAACCGATGGGCCGGTGTCAGGGCCATGGGTGTCCAAGGCTCACTGATGGATGTGGGGAATCAACTCCAGCCCGCATGGTCTGATCCCAAAGAACAGCTATTGTACTTCAAATAGCAGAACACGTAATGCTGACCATGATAGAAAGGTGTTGGAACACACAGTGCAGTTTGCAGTGTATGGGCCTGCATGGCTGCATACTGGTCAGAGGGCCCATGATGACCCCCTGTGTACCACCAAAAGAACCTTCAATGGGGATGTGAGCATCAGAACCGGATCATGGAACCATGGTAGAAGGTTGCCTGATATAATATATTACATTTTCTTTTAGACCAAGGGAATGGCCGGCTCTGTGTGTGGGTTTTTTTTTTTTGGTTTTTTTTTTTTTTCAATTGCCTGGGGAAGAGATTGCAATAGGATGCACTATGAGAAGAAGGCAAGCCAGCAGATGCAGTTATATGCTTTGGGCAATTTTTTGCTGGGGAACCTTGGGTCCTGGCATTCATCCACCTTCCTAGAGGCTGTTGCAGACCACATACACCCCTTCATGGCAATGGTGTTCCCTGATGGCAATAGCCTCTTTCAGCAAGATAAAGCTTCATGCCACACTGAAAAAAAAATTGTTCAGGAATGGTTTGAGGAGCATGAAAAAGATTTCAAGGTGTTGCCTTGGCCTCCAAATTCCCCAGATCTCAATCCGATTGAGCATCTGTGCTTTTAATGTTGTGACTGATTAGTGTAAGCATTGTTGCTCTATTTGTGTACTTTTTTTACTACAATGCTCTGCCTACTTTCATGTGGATTTTTCAAGTAGGATAATGTCCCATTTTGTAAATCACACATTATCTCAAGCTTGTTCAACACAAAAGTAGTAGTAATTACTTCATTAAACTTCAGTTCAGTGGCTCTGAGTAAATTGCAATGGGAGTTCTCCAATGTGAATGTGTGGCACTATTTGATGCTATAAAGGCGTCATGGAACAATGCAAAGCCTTCTTTCCAGGTACTATATCCAGTACTAAATGTGTAAAGTCGCTACTAAATGTATACCTTATTTATAATGTGTAAATCTAGATTTTCCATTTTTCTCATTATGGTGAGAGCCAAATATGTTTTTCACATAGGGCCTACACAACTCGAGGAATTCCCTGGTACACATGTACATAAAAATGTATCTATAACGAACGCAGGAGAGAAGCTCGCACCCGGTACAGACACCAGCCACAACGGCAGCACGCCGCCACATCCCCCCTTGCAAGCATGCAAAGCATTGCCACGGAAAGAGCGGGTGCAGGGCACTGTGGCCCGGTGGTGGAAGCGACGGAGGGACATGGACCGACCCAAGGCAACACACAATAATCGAGAAAATGTGCCAAAGACTCCTGTGGGAGGCTCGTGCGGACCCCCCCCTCCACCCGACAGGGTCAT